CTCCACACTCACTTGGTGAGGTTTTTTTTTTTTTAATCATAAGTGGATGTTGAATTACTTCAGAAACTTTTCTGCATACATGGAGATGATCATAAGGTTTTTCCCCTGATTTGGAATCACGTTGATGCTGGTCACATGGATGAGTTCAGAAGCATTCCTTCCTCTTCAATTTTCTGGAAGAGTTTGAGAAGGATTGGTATTAATTTTTTTTTTTTTTTTAATGTTTGGTAGAATTCACCAGTGAAGCCATTTGGTCCTGGACTTTTTTTTTTTTTTGAAGGTTTTTGGTTACTGATTCAATCTCGTTGAAGTAATTGATCTGTTCAGATTGTTTTTTAAAATCTTTTAATGATTCAGTCTTGGAAGGTTATATGTTTCTAGGAATTTGTCCATTTCTTCTAGCTTGTCCAATTTGTTGGTGTAGAGTTGTTCATACTAGTCTCTTATGCTTTGTACTTCTTTAGTATTAGTTATAGTGTCTCTTTCATTTCTGACTTTATTGATTAGACCTCTTTTTTTGATGATAAGTCTGGCTGTAATTTTATCAATTTTGTTTATCTTTTCAAAGAACCAGGTCTTGGTTTCATTGATGATTTTTATTTTATAAAGTCTCTATTTTTGTTTATTCCTGCTCTGATCTTTATTATATTTTTCCTTCTACTAACTTTGGGTTTTGTTTGCTGTACTTTTTCTAAGTTCCTTTAGGTGTAGGGTCAGGTTGTTTATTTGTAATTTTTCTTGTTTTCTGAGCTAAGTTTGTATCACTAAAATTTCTCTCTTAGAACTGCTTTTGCTGCATCCAGTAGATTTTGGGTCTTTGTGTTTTTGTTGTCATTTGTTTCCAAGTATTTTGATGATTCTTTGAGTTTCTCTGGTGACCCATTGGTTGTTTAGTAACATGTTACTTAGCTTCCATGTTAGTGTTTTTTGCAGTTTTTTTTTTTCCCCCCTTGTGGTTGATTTCGAAGAGTCACATAGGATTGTGGTTGAAAAACATGCTTGATATGGTTTCAGTTTTCTTAAATTTATTGAATGTTGTTTTTGTGGTACATCATGTGGTTCATCCTAGAAAATGTTCCATGTACATTTGAATCAAATGTGTATTCTGCTGATTTGGATGGAATGTTCTATATCCGTCCATTTGATCTAATGTGTTTCTTGACTAATTTTCTATCTGGATGATCTGTCCACTGATATGAGTGGGGTGTTAAATTCCCCTACTCTTATTATGTTACTGTCAATTTCTCCCTTTATGTCTATTAATATTTGCTTTATGTATATAGCACTCTTTTATATATAGGTGCATATCCATTTACAGTTGTTACATATTCTTAGATTGATCCCTTGATCATTATATCACGTCCTTCTTTGTCACTTGTCACGTCTTTGTTTTAATGTCTATTTTGTCTAATATATTAATAAATATTGGCATCCTGGCTTTTTCTGACATATATTTGCATGGAATACTTTTTTTCAACCCCCTCACTTTGAGTTCTGTGTATGTCTTTAGATCTGAAGTGTGTCTCCTATAGGTAGCATATATATGGGTTTTGTTTTTGTGTCCATTCAGCCACTCTGCATCTTTTGATTGGAGCATTTAGTCCATTTACATTTAATTACTGATAGGTATGTACTTCTGTTTTGTTCATTGTTTGGGGCTTATTTTTGTAGCTCTTTTTAGTTCCTGTCCTCTTCCCTCCCCTGTTGATTTGATGACTATCTTTAGTTATGTTTGGATTCGCTTATTTTTGATGTTTATAAATTGTAGATTTCTGGTTTGTGATTACCATGCAGCTTATATATAGCAATCTATATATAATGTAATGCAATATATGTGTTCATTTTAAGTTGATGATCTCTTAATTTCAAGCATTTTTAACACCCCTGCATTTTTACTGCCTCACCCTTGTCATGGTTATTGTTTTTAGTTTCATATTTTACATCTTTTTGTGTATCTCTTAACTAATTATTATGGATATAAATGATTTTTGCCACTTTTCTCTTTTAACTTTTCCTGATAGCTTTGAACATGGTTGATTTACTACCTAAATTTTGCCTTTATTAATGAGCTTTTTCCTTTCATAATTTTCATGTTTTTATTTGTAATCTTTTCTTTTTCACCTAAAGAAATCCCTTTATCGTTTCTTATGAAGCTGATTTGCTGGTGCTCAACTCCTTTTAGCTTTTGCTTCTCTGCAAACCTTGGGGCTTCTTTATCAAATCTGCATGAAAGTCTTGAGTAGAGTATTCTTGTTTGTAGGTTTTCCCCTTTCATCACTTAAAATTTGTTGTGCACTCCCATCTGGCCTGCAGAGCTGCTGGAAGTAGTTGATGGCCTCACTGGAGTTCCTTTGTATATAACTTGTTGCTTTTCCCTTGTGTTTAATATTCCTTCTTTAACTTTAATTTTTGCCATTTTAGTTACAGTGTATCTTGGTGTGGACCTCTTTGGGTTGATCCTATCTATGTTCCAGGACCTAGATGTCTATATCTCTTCCCAAGTTAAGGAGATTTTCAACTATTGGGTCTTCAAATATGTTCTCTGTCCCTTTCTCTCTTCTTCTGGGACCCTATGATGTGAATATCAGTGCCCTTGATGTTGTACCGAGATTTCTTAAACTCTATTTTCTTTTTACTCTTTTTTTCTCTGTTCAGCTTCAGCGATTTCCTCCACTCTGCCTTCCATCTCCCTGATCCATTCCTCTGTATCATTTAATCTGCTGTTGATTTCTTCTAGTTTATGTTTCATTTCAGTTGTATATTTTGTCTCTGCTTAGTTCTTCATATCTCCTAACTATGTTAAGCTTCTCACCGTGTTCATCCACTCTTCTCCCACATTCTTTGATCATCTTTGTGATCCTTACCCGGAACTCCTCCTCAGGTAGTTTGCCTATCTGCGCTTCAGTTGGTTCTTTTTCTGGGTTTTATCTCCTTCCTTTGTTTGAAACGTGTTTCTTTGTCACCTCATTTTGCCTAACTGGCTCTTTTTATTTCTCTGCATCCGGTAGGTTGGTTACATTTCCTGACCTTGGAGAGGGGGCCTTTTGTAGGAGATACACTGTGTGTCCCAGCAGCTCCCTCCTCTCTGGTCATTAGTGCTATATGCTCTAGGGGTACCCCTGTGTGGGGTGCGTGGGTCCTTCTGCGTGGTGGCCCAGCTCCTGCCATGGTCTGATAGACGTGGCTGGCCCTTGGCCCAGTTGGTTGCCAGGCCATGCCTTGTGTGGAGCGGGCTGGGTACTAGTTGGTGGGGCCAGGTCACGGGGCTGCTGGCTGCAGAACCCTAGAGGACCCTGTCCTTGCTCACGAACGGTCAGAGCAGGTTCTTAGGTGAGTGGTTACAGGGCTGGGGCTCATGGATCTAGTCTTGGCCTCCTGGTAGCTGGAGCCAGTTCCTAATATGGCTGGCACAGGTTCTAGGGTATCCCAAATGGGCCAGCACCTGCTGACCCACCGGCTAACTGAGAGGGGCTGGATCCCAGGGCAGCTGGCTGAGGACTCTAAGATTTCTCAGAGCTGGTTTTGGTCTGCTCTTGGGTGGGGCCGGGGTGCCAATCTGCTGTGTTGGTTATGTCCTAACAAGGTAGGCTGCAGGGCTGCAGTGGTCCTGGGGCTGGTGTCTGCCCCTCGCTGGGTGAAGTTGGGGCCAGTAGGTGAAGCCAAGGCCCAGAATATTTGAGGGCTGGTTCTGGCTGGCTTGTGGCTGGAACGTGGGTCTGCAGATTTCCGGCTGCATGTCCCTGGGGGTCTCGGGGCTAGTGCTTGTTCACTGTTGATAGCACTGGGGCCTGAGCCCTCTGGCGAACAGGACTGTGACCTTAGGAGCCTTGGGCTCAGAAGGTCTTAAGGCAGCCTGTCTGCTGTAGGGTGGCGCTGTGTCCTTATCCAGCTGGTTGCTTGGCCTGAGCTGACCCAGCACTGCTGCAGACAGGTTGCACGAGTCTGGGCGGGGCTGGATCCTGGTGCTGATTCTCTTGAAGGATTCCAGAATGGCACTTTCCAGTGCCTTTGCCTCCAAGGTGAGCTCCAGTTGCTTCTTGCCTCTTAGGAAGACCCTCCAAGATCAGCAAATGAGTCCGACCTGGCCTCTTTTCCAATGAATCCTTCTGCCGTGGGTCCCAGAGGGTGTGAAATTTTGTGTGTGCCCTTTAAGAGTGGTGTGTCTGTTTCCCCCAGCCCTCGGTGACTCCTGAAATTAATCCCTGCAGGCCTTCAAAGCCAAGCTTTCCAGGCACTTGTCTTCCCAGGGCAGGATCCATGGGCTGGGGAGCCCTCTGTGGGACTCAGACTCCTTGAGGAGCAGTTGTAGTTATTCTTAGATTTGTGGTTCACCCACCCCTGAGGTGTGGGTCTTGACTACGTAACTTACGCAACTTACGCCCCTCCTACCCATCTTATGATTCCTTCTTTGAATCTTTAGCTGTCGATGATCTTTTCTGCTAGATTTTGTCTTTCTCATGAAGAGTTGCTCTCTCAATAGCTGTGATTGTAGTGTGCTCACGGGAGGTGAGCACAGGGTCTTCCTACTCCACCGTCTTGTCCAACCTCTATAATAGTACTTCCTCTAAATAATTCTTATAAATGAAGAGTTGTAACAGGTGTTCACTGCCAATGCTCCTGATTCCCTTTTTCACATGTAAGTAGGAAGAAGGAACATTGGCGCAGTGAGCTCCCGGAAGCAGAACTGCAAATGAGAAAGTGCCAGCCAGGAATCACGTCTAGGCTCAAAATACTGCATGTAGCATGTTTGACGTAACTGCTTGAGCTTCCATTTCCTCATTTGAAGAGTGTGATGGTAATGGCTGCCTCCTCCAGATTTGAGGCTGATATGAGATGATGTCCAAAATGCTCCTTGCGCTCCGCATAACGGGTCCTGTCTGCTGTCAGCCCTCTTCCCCGCTCAGTGCCCAGAATGTGACAGGTCATACACCTGGGCCGTGTGGACAGTGACTCTCATTGCTTGATCCTGCATGTCTCCTAACCCACCTGATTATTTTTAGAGTATGGAGGAAAGTGGAAAATGCTTCATTACTTTGCTCGGCATTTCTTCGCCCCACTGTTAGCGGTGGGATTTGAGGATAAAGATGTGCTTTTCATCTATGGTGTGTCAGATCTTCACTCAGACCATCAGACGATGCTCACTGTAAGTTGCTTGGACTTTTTTCTTTCTGTGCTGGACGGAGAATTTTAGATTTCTTTCATTATTTGGTTCTGTTCTTTTTGGAAAAATGAAAAGAGAAATTTGTATCAAAATGTTTCTAGCGCCTGTAGCAGAAAATGGGCTGTTCTTAAAATCTGAGAATCTATATTCAGGACAAAATCCTACTGTTTATTGTACGACCTTAATGTCTTGGTTCAGTTTTCTCATCTGTAAAATGACACCAAGTTACCTTTTTAGAGGATTTCTGTGGATAGTGAATACAATAATTAGATGAATGTGAATTGTAAACTGTAAAATGATACTTAAATCAGAGATTATTTATAATCATGAGAAGCTGAAAAAAGCCTAAACTTTATAAAAAGAAATCATTTAAAACAGTATATTAAAGTGGAAATCAGTCAAATTATGCAAAATGTATATGTGGGAAAGTGAAGTTGTATTTAAAACAAAGTTAGGTAAAAAGAGAGGATAGAAACTTGAAGTCTTAGGTGGCTGCCATTGAGAGGACATTGAGAATTGGTCAAGTTTTTGGAATAATTACAATACCTGAGGTCCTGTGCCTTCCATAGATTATTTAATTCTCACAACTGCCTATGAAGTTACTGCTTTTTATGGTTTGTTGTTCTCACTTTATGTATAAAGAAATGGATACTTTGAGAAGTTGAATTCACATTTTAGTTACATAACTCCTACGTGGCGGAGCTGAGGTTAAACTCAGGTTTCACAGTCTCTTCATCATTCTGCTATTGTGACTTCCATCTATTGTTACTACTCTTATTCTCTAAAAAAATTAGGAACTAAGAATGTTTGGTTTTCTTCTGTCTTGTTTCTCCCCAGGTGAGAGTCCACACTTGGAGTTCGCTGGAGCTCGTATGCTCTGAGTCGACTAAGCCTTTTGTGATAAAAGCTGGGGAGTCTGTTCTCCTGTATATTAAGCCAGTGCCTGAGTTGTTAAAAGGATGTCCCAGATGTACACGACAAAGCTGTGTGGTTTCCTTTTACCTGTCAACTGACGGGGAACTCTTGAGCCCAGTCAACTATCACTTCCTGTCCTCGCTGAAGAATGCCAAGGGACTCCTCAAGGCAAATATCACTGTAAGCACCAGGGGTCTGGAGTTGCTGTGGCTTTGAGGACTGTCCTGCTGTTGTGCAAAATTTCCCCTTGGTACTGAGTTTATTTGGGACCTGGGGAAGATTGATTCCCCTTCCCACTGGAAGCAAAGAGCAAATAATTTTTATTTCTGATTCAGCGTTTGTCAGAGTTTACGGTGCCTGCCACGCCGGTGGTCCCATCACCTCTCCTTGCCAGGCTGGTGCAGCAGAGAGCAGGGCATCAGGGTCCTCACCCCTGAGTGCTCCTCAGCCGGGTTCCAGCCTCTGTACCAGCCCTGAAATATTACCACCTGCATTTGTAAGTGAGAAAGCCTGTTTGGGGGCTCCTTAAGTGGCTCAGTGGTAAAGAATCTGCCTGCCGAGGCAGGAGGTACAAGAGACGTGGGTTTGATTCCTGAGTCAGGAAGATCCCCTGGAGAAGGAAGTGGCAACCCACTCCAGCGTTCTTGCCTGAAGAATCCCATGAACAGAGGAGCCTGGTGGGCTACACTCCATGGGGTCACAAAGCGTTGAACATCACTGGGCACACACACACTAACCTGTTTGGTGGGGCCGAGTAGCTATTCAGTCTGTAGCCAGGAAGTGTCAGAGTCCAGTAAAAGCACTCTTTGTTTTTTAATCTAACAGACAATTTCTTCTCTCTTTTTTTTAACTTTCTATTTTATATTGGAGTATAGTTGATTAACAATGTTGTGATAGCTTTGACACGTTCATTTAATATTTTTTTAATTTCAGCTGTTTATTGATTGATTGGCTCTGCTGGGTCTCTGTATCTGCATGGGCTTTTCTGTAGTTGTAGCAAGTGGGGCCTGGTCCCTGCAGTGAGACGCTCTCGCATCGCAACTAGGGAGTAGCCCCAGCTCATAATTTACATCAGGATACACTCATTCTGTTGTGTGTTCTATGGGTTTTGACAAATGTATAGTGATATGTGGACTTCCCTGGTGCCTCAGTGGTTAGGAATCCATCTGCCAAGCCGGAGACATAGGTTTGATCCCTGGGTCAGGAAGATTCCCTGGAGAGGGAAATGGCAACCCAGTCTTCCTCATAACTGAGTGGCTAAATGGCAGTGGCATGTGACAACTGTCACAGTGTCTTACAGAGTACTTCCACCGCTCTGCAGTCCGTTGCTCTCTGCCTCCTCTATCTCTGCTTGTGCCCAGTCACTTCAGTCGTGTCTGACTCTTTGCAACCCCGCCCGGCTCTGTCCATGGGATTCTCCAGGCAAGAACACTGGAGTGGGTTGCCATTCCCTTCTCCAGGGGATCTTCCCGACCCAGGGATCCAACCCATGTCTCCTGCGTCGGTAGGGAGGTTCTTTGCTGCTGAGCCACCTGGAAAGCCCTGCTTTATCGTTCCCTCCCCTCAGTCCCTAGGAAACGCTGACCTTTTGGCAATTTACATATTTTTATTTTTTCCAGAATGTCATATCATTGGAACCATACAGTATGTAGTTCTTTCAGATTGGCTGTTTTCTACTTAACAGCATGCATTTAAATCTTCTCCGTTTCTTTTTTTTTAACTTTTAAATTTTATATTGGATTAACGATATATATTTATATATTTATATTCGATTAACAATGTTGTGATGGTTTCAGGTGGACAGCAAAGGGACTCAGCCGTACTAAAAGCACCCTTAATTTTGCATTTTTAAGGAGAGTCTATTAATGTAAAAAATTTTCACTCTCCACTCTGATTTATTACGTTCAAGTTGCTTAATCACCAGATCTCTTTATCATTGTCAAGAAAAATAATGGGATGATCAGGATAGGCTGTGTTGTAAAAATTGTGTAGCTGGAAAATATGGAATCTATCTAGTTGATTGAAAACCTTTCCTTCCTTCCCCCACCTCCACGTGGTGATTGAAAATATGTTTCTAGAAAGTTTCATTCTCTGTTTTTAACCAATTATAAGTTTATTTTAGACTTCATTGAAAAGACTTAAGTGAGAGGATTTTTTTATATTTGGTTTCGAAATATCAAAACTCAGTCCTTGAAATGAAAACACAACTTCCTTCCTAGTTAATAGTAAACTGTTCCTTTAATGAAATCTAACTTACTTGTAACATCCGATGTAGAGCAGATATGAAGGAAATGACATACGTTTACATGGCTTCTTTCCAGAAAAAAAGCACAAAACTATTAGTGGACAAATTTGTGGTCTTTAGACAGGATTTTGAAATCTTTCATCTTTTCTCATCTAGGCCTGTATTACCTTGAGACAGCTGGGAGTGGGAAAGGAGCAGGCCTTCTTTCTCGGTCCTATCTCAGTTGTGTTTCAGTGATATGTTGCATCCTAAGGGACCCTTTATTACATCCTAAAGAGATGTAATAACAGTAGCAACAATAATAGTAATGATAGTAAACATACTCGCGGGCTTAACATAGCCGGGCATTAATTCCATCCCCTGGGGCCTCCCCAGGGGCCTTGAGTCAGAGTACTGCGCTCCCTGCTCTGCTGTCAGATAATGCAGAGGTGTGATTGCCAATTATAAGAAGGCACCTACAGGAGTGAGCGCGCGCCAGTTTCCCTTCTGGCCTTGGCCTTGGGACAGACTAGCTGAGGCCTTCCTGCAGCCTTGGCAGCGGCCAGGGCCCTGCCGTGTGAACTGTGTGCCTGAGACTGCTGTAGGGTCTTCATTGCAACGAGTGGGCAGCATGATTTGGGAATTTGACACCATCACTACTTTGGTAGAAGCAACAAAAGAAATTTAAAGTAATTAGGTAGCTCTCTTTAAATTTCTTTTCTTGCTTCTACCAAAGTAGTGATGGTGGTGGTGGTGGAGTCGTTAAGTCCCAGCCGACTCTGTGCCACCTCATGGACTGTAGGCCTCCAGGCCCCTCTGTCCCTGGGATTCTCCAGGCAAGAGTACTGGAGTCGGTCGCCATTTTCTTCTCCAGGGGATCTTCCCGACCCAGGGATGGAACCCAGGTCTCCTGCACTGCAGACAGATTCTTTACCGACTAAGCCACTAGGGAAGTCCTACCAGTGTGGGATTTCTTGTTGATACTGTAGAACCCTGCATGATGCAGCAGGCTAAGTTATATATAGTAAAATTTGCCCTTGGGTATTCTTTATGTCACACATAGCCTGTAATGTCAAACCTGTGGCATGGCATGTATGCATGTTGAAGAGTTCTATGTCATGACAAATGCATGGCTTGACTCCCAGGTCCCACCCAGCTGTGTCCTCACAGTGAGAGAGGATCACCAACCCTGCCTTCCAGGGAGCAGCCGTCCTCACTGTCAGCCTGTGCCAAGAGGCTGAGGGTGACGAGACTTAAACTGCACTCTCTTTTGCTATATTGTGTGGGATTCACACGTGTTTGAGGTGCTAATAAAGTGACTTTGTCAACGATGCATTAAGAGCACCAGCTCTAGTGGGATAGCTTCTGGAGATGCCTGGCTGGCTGCTCTCTGGACTGCAGGGTCTTCTCATAAGACCAAAAGGTGGGTGCCATGGCTGGCTCCACAGTCAGCTCCTGACAGATCCTGAGCAAGTCATTAAAATCACCACTCCTGCTGCAGAAGTGTGCTTCTTTTGATGAGACCCTGAGGAGAAGATACACAGCTACAAAGCTCTGAGCTTCCTGTGAAATGTTCTCCTGAATCTTTGGAGACCACATATTTCTACCCCTGATTTGAGATTACAATTTGGTGATTTTCCACAGCCTTCAGTAAATTTCCATGTATTTTTTTTCAGCATCTGACACAGTGCATGGAATATATGACTTTAGCAGTAATAGAACCAAAGTTGTAGGCAGTGCACTTCATGTTAGCCACATAGAACAGAGAGCTGCTCTCCACCTTCACTTGATTTATCTTTTTCTTTCAGGCCACCATCTCGCAGCAAGGGGACACATTTGTTTTTGATCTGAAAACCTCAGCTGTCGCTCCCTTTGTTTGGTTGGATGTAGGAAGCATCCCAGGGAGATTCAGTGACAATGGTTTCCTCATGACTGAGAAGACACGGACTGTATTCTTTTACCCTTGGAAACCCACCAGCCAGAGTGAATTGGAGCAATCTTTTCATGTGACTTCACTGGCTGATACTTACTGACGGATCCAGGTTGTATTTTCGAGAGCTGAAGGCAACTAGAAACAAGTTGAAGAAGCCAGGAAATGCATCTGCTTGCTGTCAGATGTCTAATTAGCCACTTGGTTCTCCCAGGGAAGGCTGTGTATATTCAGGGGATGTCCTCAGCAAAGCTGTGCCTGGGTGCTGTTCAGTCCGCACCAGGGCTGTGTCTTTAGCTCTTCCTTTCACACCACATGAATCAGTTCTAACCCAGCTGTCTCTGCTAACCCCACAGGGAGGTCCTGTCCGCATGCAGTCCTTTAAGAGAATCAGAGGTACACTCCCAGGTAGCCCTTTAAGGGAATCACGGTGATAACCATTGTGGTATCTGTGGAATCAAATGTGGAAGGTTGTGAGGGCACGTAGGCCCCTCTGGTTCGCTTTGAGAAATACCAAACGATTGAAATGAAACTGCTTTGTCATTATTTCCAGAGGAAATAGAGATTCAGATGTTGCAATAGAAAGAGCTGTCTGGGTGGTAGCCATATTGGTTATTGATGCTGGAAAGTTTGGTGGGATGGATTGTTGCCATTCGATTACTTTTTGAGTAGGAATCTTTTTTCATTTGTGAGGTGTTTTTTTTTTAATATTTGTTTTAACAGTAATAATTTATTTTTCCAAAGGCAATTAGTGATTCGTCTTTGGGGAAAAAAAGCTCACATTGAAATGGACATCACCTTCATCACGTTGGAAACTTTTGGGTGTCCCGACATAAGTGGTCACCTGTATTATGTATGGGCTTCAGATTTGGTTAAGTCCAGTGAACTTTCCAATTCAAGGCTATGGTTTGATTTGCATGTGATGAACCTGGCAGCAAAGTGGTATTGCTTTTAACTTGAGATTGAGCCATTTTAAAAAACACTGATTAATTATAATTGCTATGAAATCATTGTGTTCTGCATCATCCTGTTTATAAAATTACATTGATACTGAAGCAAGGGGCAAAATGTTAATAAGTAGTCAATTTGAGTAAAGGTGTATAGGAATTTTTTTGTTCTGCTTTTGCAACTTTTCTGTAAGTTTGAAATATATAAAAAATTTAAGGTTATATAAATTGCATTGACAATTTGGTGTTCCGTCTGTGACTTACTTCCTCATTCCATGAACTCGGTTGTGCCCAGTATCATGCAAGGCATTAATTTCCATTTAGCTCTGGTCAGGTTTTTAATCCACTTGATAAACTGGGAGAGTTTGAGGAATCTAGACCAGGATATTTGAAGGGTCTTCTAGAAGAAGAATCAAGAGGGTTACGGAATTTACCGGCGGTGAGAGTTTGGCTTTAGAATCAAGACTAAATAGGTAATATTTTGGTTTTAAAGCTAAGAAATTTTTGGCCATTGTTCACAGAGACTAAAAAGAAAATAAATGCAGACAACCCACTCTTCGCCTTCAATATCTAAGAGTTTCCTCATTTTATGTGTCATTTCAAAATATATATTTATATACAGCTTTTCATATATATATGTGAAATATATATTTCATACAGCTTTTAAACTGTATGAAAGACTGGGGCTTAGGGCTGTAACCCAGAAGATTCTTACTTGATAAATATTATATCACGTTCTTGTCACTGTTGCTGGGTGGGCAGGGGGCACCCTCCTCTCCATTAACTAGAGCATTTTGCTATTACAGGTGCCCTGTGAGTTGACCTTTGAAGTTGATGGGCAGAATTTACATTGCAGTTCTGCCCTTTTTAGCTCTGTAGCCTTAACCGAGTAATTTAACCTCTATGTTCAGTCCTCTTGTGGTGAAATGGGAATAATTACCCTCACCTTGTAAGTGTGTTTTGAAGAATAAATTAAAAACGTGGCTCAAGGGCTTGGCCCAGTATTGACACTTAGTGAAGGCTCTGTGAATGGAGGCACCATCTTCGGTGTGACCCTGTTGTCTAGAGAGGGCAGGGCTTCCAGCCACACTGACCTGAGTTGGAATCCAGGTTCTGAGGCTTATTGGCTCTGTGACCTTGGGCAGCCACTTGGCCTTCTAGATTTCAGTTTTCTCATCTGTTAAGTGGAGATGATTATCTCTGACCCTCAAAGGTAGTTGTAAAGATTAAACAGATAGGGTATGGAACAAAATAAATGCTAAGTGGTGGTTATACTTTTAGAACATCATTATCACCCAGTTAGTACATGAAGCAAGGGTAAAAATGAAGCAAATAAGCACAGATTCTTTTTTTCTGTCTTTTTTTACTTTGACGAATAGTTAATACAATATTGCATTAGTTTCAAGTGTACTGCAAAGTGATTCACACACACACACACACATATATACTCAATTATTTTCTGCTATATATTATTATAAGATATTAAATATAACTCCTTGTGCTACACAGTAAATCCTATTGCTTATCTGGTTTTTATATAGCAGTGTGTATCTGTTAATCCCACATCCTGCTTTGTCCTTCCCTCTCCTTCTACCCATAAGTTTGTTTTCTATGTCTGTGAGTCTGTTGCTGTTTGTACATAAATTCAATTGCATTATTTTTTTTTTTAAGATGCCAGAAGAAGTAATAGGATATAATATTTGTCTTTCTCTGGCTTGCTTCACGAGGTATGATAATCTCTGGGCCCATCCATGTTGCTTCAAATGGCATTATTTCATTCTTTTTGAAGATCAAGTAATATTTAATTGTATCTGATTAGCCAAGAAGTTCATTCAGGTTTTTCTGTAGGATGTTGTAGGAAAACCTGAATGAACATTTGGCCAACCCAGTGTAAACATACCACATCTTTATCTGTGCATCTGTCAATAGACATTTAGGTTGTTTCCATGTCTTAGCTATTGTAAATAGTGCTGCTATGAACATTGGGGTGAGTGCATCTTTTCAATTAAGAGTTTAATTTCAATTAAACTTTTCATCTTTTGCATCTTTTCAATTAAGCCAGATATATGCTCAGAAGTAGAATTTGTTGGATCGTATGGCAATGATTAAAAAAAATTATTTTTTAAATAAATCTCCATATTGTTTTTCATAGTGGCTGCACCAATTTACATTTCCACCAAAAATGTAGGCGGGCTCCCTCTTGTCTACATCCTCTCCAGCATTTGTTATTTGTAGACTTTTTGATGATGGCCATTCTGACCTGTGTGAAGTGATACCCTCATTGTAGTTTTGATTTGCCTTTCTCTAAAATTAGAGATAACAAGGCAACATTTCATGCAAAGATGGGTTCGATAAAGGACAGAAATGGTATGGACCTAACAGAAGCAGCAGATATTAGGAGTTGTCAAGAATACAGAGAAGAACTGTACAAAGAAGATCTTCACAACCCAGATAATCATGCTGGTGTGATCACTCACCTAGAGCCAGACATCCTGGAATGTAAAGTCAAGTGGGCCTTAGAAAGCGAAACTACGAACAAAGCTAGTGGAGGTGATGGAATTCCAGTTGAGCTATTTCAAATCCTGAAAGATGACACTGTGAAAGTGCTGCACTCAATATGCCAGCAAATTTGGAAAACTCAGCAGTGGCCACAGGACTGGAAAAGGTCAGTTTTCATTCCAATCCCAAAGAAAGGCAATGCCGAAGAATGTTCAAACTACCGCACAATTGCACTCATCTCACACACTAGTAAAGTAATGCTCAAAATTCTCCAAGCCAGGCTTCAGCAATACGTGAACCGTGAACTTCCAGATGTTCAAGCTGCTTTTAGAAAAGGCAGAGGAACCAGAGATCAAATTGCCAACATCCACTGGATCATNGCAGCCATGATGTTAAAAGACGCTTACTCCTTGGAAGGAAAGTTATGACCAACCTAGATAGCATATTAAAAAGCAGAGACATTACTTTGCCAACAAAGGTCCGTCTAGTCAAGGCTATGGTATTTCCAGTGGTCATGTATGGATGTGAGAGTTGGACTGTGAAGAAAGCTGAGCACTGAAGAATTGATGCTTTTGAACTGTGGTGTTGGAGAAGACTCTTGAGTCCCTTGGACTGCAAGATCCAGCCAGTCCTGGGACTGGCTAAAGATCAGTCCTGGGTGTTGTTTGGAAGGACTGATGCTGAAGCTGAAACTCCAATACTTTGGCCACCTCATGCGAAGAGCTGACTCATTGGAAAAGACCGTGATGCTGGGAGGGATTTGGGGTAGGAGGAGAAGGGGACGACAGAGGATGAGATGGCTGGATGGCATCACTGACTCAATGGTTATGTGTTTGAGTAAACTCTGGGAGTTGGTGATGGACAGGGAGGCCTGGCGTGCTGCAATTCATGGAGTCACAAAGAGTTGGACACGACTGAGTGACTGAACTGAACTGATTCTTATTCTGTGAAAAATATCATGGGTATTTTGATAAGATTGCATTAAATTTGTAGATTGCTTTGGGTAGTATGGCCACTTTAACAGTATTAATTCATCAATCCAAGATTATGGATTATCATACATTTATTTGAATCACCATCGGTTTTCATTATCAGTATTTTAGTTTTCAGTGTATAGGTTTTTTACATCCTTGATTAAGGATGTAAAATAAATAATAAATACCTTTTATTAAATAAATACTTTTATTCCTAGGTATTTTGTTTTTTGATATTTTTGATATTATGACATATTAAATGGTATTTTTTTAACTTTCTAATATTTTGTTATTAGTGTGAAGAAATGCAACAGATTTCTGTATGTTAATTTTGTATCCTGCTACCTTGCTGAATTCATTTAATAGTCTTTGTGAGAAGAATTCAGAGTTCTCTACATAGAGTATGGCATCACTGACTCAATGGACATGAGTTTGAGCATGCTCTGGGAGATGGTGAAGGATGGGGAAGCCTGACATTCTGCCGTCCACGGGGTCGCAGGGAGTTGGACATGACTGAGCAATTGAACAACATAGAGTATTATGTGATCTACAAATAGTGACAATTTTACCTCTTCCCTTCCAATTTTGATGCCTTTTTTCCCCCTTGTCTGATTGCTGTAGCTAGGACTTAGAATACTTTGTAAATAGTAGTGGTGAGAGTGGGCATCCTTGTCCTGTCCCTGAACTTAGTGGGAAGCCTCTCAGGTTTTCACTGTTAAATGTTATGCTGGCTCTGGGATTGTTGTAAATGGCTTTTATGATGTTTAAATTTCTCCCCTTCTACTTTGGTGAAAGTTTTTTTTTTTTTTTAATCAGGGATGGATGTTGAATTTTGTCAAATGCTTTTTCTGTGTCTTTTGAGATGATGGTATGATTTTTGTCTTTTCTTTTGTTAATGTGATATGTCACATTGGTTTGCATATGTTGAGCCATCCTTGAGACCCTGGAATGAATCTAACTTGATCGTGGTTTATGATCCTTCGTATGTATTGTTGGATTTGGTTTGCTAATATTTTGTGGAGGATTTTTGTGTCTATATTCTTCAAAGATATTGGCTGTAGTTTTCTTTTTTGTAATGTCTTTGGTTTTGGTGTCATGGTGATGATAGCTTCATAGAATGAATTTGGGAGTGTTCTAAACAGTGACACTTTATTTTCTTGGGTTCTAAAATCACTACGGATGGTGACTGCAGCCATGAAATTAAAAGATACTTGCTCCTTGGAAGAAAAGCTATGACAAACCTAGACAACATTTTTAAAAATTTATTTATTTTTGTTCTTTTATTTTTCTTTTTCCATTTATTTTTATTAGTTGGAGGCTAATTACTTTACAGTATTGTAGTGGTTTTTGCCATCCACTGACATGAATCAGCCATGAATTTACATGTATTCCCCATCCCAGTCCCCCCTCCCACCTCCCTCTCCACCCCATCCCTCTGGGTCTTCCCAATGTACTAGTTTGCATTCCCACCAACAGTGTGAGAGGGTTCCCTTTTCTCCACACCCTCTCCAGCATTTATTGCTTGTAGACTTTTGGATAGCAACCATCCTGACTGGCGTGTAATGGTACCTCACTGTGATTTTGATTTGCATTTCTCTGATAATGAGTGATGTTGAGCATCTTTTCATGTGTTTTTGTGCCATCTGTATGTCTTCTTTGGAGAAATATGTGTTTAGTTCTTTGGCTCATTTTTTGATTGGGTCATTTATTTTTCTGGAGTTGAGCTGGAAGAGTTGCTTGCATATTTTTGAGATTAACCCTTTGTCTGTTGC